ACTATCACATTGTTTTTGATCCAGCAGACATACCCTGCATGTCGTTGGTGAATGAAAATTTTCCCATACAGATGATACAACAACAAATTCTACGGCAATAATGTCTCCCCTAATGAAGGGATAACAGATGACTGTGTATCTAATGATGAATTCAGATGGTCATATTGCCACACATGTGGTATTAGGGGACTTATTATAAGTCATAACCAGTGAATTAAAACGTACCTATTTGAGCAGGGCCGCTGTCTATGCTGCCACCCCACCCTGACCTGTCACAGTAGGGTGGGCCCCAGCCATTTTCACAGTGGCAGTGACCTAGGTTGTTACAAACCTGAAATAAACATTAAAGAGTAAATATCCAGCAGGTCCTAAGTGGCTGGAATCTGAGTAAAGAAAGACAAAAAAAAAAAGAAGAAACTTTACCCCTTGGCCATTACAGGTGGTTTTTGCATCACAGATCAAGTTGGGCAGGAGAGCAGAGGCATTCACACACTGAAAGTTCACACAGGTCTAAAAGAAAAGTAATGTTACTTACTGGTGCAGTTAGATTGAGTCATTAGCAGTTTTTCCTTATGATGTTGACAGTATTTTAGTAAAAAAAGTGATACCATATTTGCATTAGTTGTTACATTTCTTTACTTTGGCATTAAAATAGTTTGCTCACCTTTCCTGTAGCACAGGGGCTGCCAGGGTTAACATAAGCTGGGTCCAGCACATCTGTGCCAAGGTCGAAGTCAGCATTAACACAAGTCTTCCCAGCAACTATTTTAATAGTGATTGTGGCACCGAGAGGAGGGTTAATCACATTCACGTTGGTGCACTGCACCTTTCCACACATGGAATTTCTGTGTAACAGAGTCAAATTAAGAAAAGGAATCACAGTTGCAAATGACTTAAACACTGGATGAAAAAAAAGGTAAATCTAATCTTTAACTGAAATGCTACAATTGTATCTTATCACTCAGTTACTTCCATCAGATAAAGTAATGCTACTTTTGTTTTCAAACACATTCACATATGCTTAATTGAATACATGCTGAATTTAGTGTACCAGCAAAGCTTCACATGCTCATGATGAGAGAGGAGATTCATGACATCATACTTATCAGCAATAGGTTGAAGTTAAAACCCAAGAACCACACTTTTATTTTATAAACAAGTATAATCTACACTTCTGGTTTCTCATGTTTTTAGTTCAATGAGTAAATATAATCTCACATTTAACATTTGGCAAGTAAAAGGAAACAAGTTTGTTCACAAATAATGTTGTTCCATAAGAAATCATGGCTAGAATTAAGCATCAAACCATAGTTAGGAAGGTGCTTATTTCAACCAAACATCTTTGAAAAGTGAACTCCAACAGGGGATCAAAAAATGGAAAATAAGACGACTTAGAAAGTGCCAAATTATAAGAGTAAAATTGTCCATGTTTTCATTAGATATCATTAGATATAGCTATACATCATTGTACAAAAAGAGCAAAGTCTGAGGGGATGGGATTAAGATGGGAATTCTTCTCAGATTTGACCGACTTTATAAAACAAAGTCGATGTTCAACATGACTAACGCAGTACTTTTTCAACACACGTTATCTAAAATCCTTAAATTCATGAGATGATGAATTAATGACATCATTAGAGAGTACTTACGCTACAGTACATTTGATGTAGTCTCCTTTGCTGCTCCTTCCACAGTTACCAAACCGATCTCCCTGAATATTTGCATCTTGGAAACAAATATCTGCTGCTTTTATTGCATTATCTGCCAAAAAGAGAAATATAATCCCGAAAAAAGAATAAGAAATTCTGAAAAGTCTTGCCTACTGATCGTAACCACATTACTGAAAACTAAAAGCATGAAAAAAGTAATGAATTATTATTAGATGTACCTGGTGCAAACAGATGTCCGCACTGATAATCATATGTCTGGCAGCGTCCTTCATAGCAATACGCAGCATTGTTTTGACAGGGCAGACCATCCATGAGATAAAAGTCATTCGGACAGGATTCATTTCTTCCATTACAATATTCAGGAAGATCACAGGTATTGACAGAATCTCTGCATGTCGTTCCTGCAACTTTGAGCTAAAAAACAGAAGAGAGAAAAAAGTTAACTCACCCACATTTCCAAATGTTTTTTCTTGGTGCAAAAAGCACAAAAATCAACCATAAAGCTAAATCCAACACATTTCAGACCTGACAGTTTTCACAACATGCTCCGTGAGCGCATGCAGATCCGCGGGTAAATGTACATGTGGCAGCATTGCAGCACTTATTCGTACATTCCTGTATGAAACAGATGAAAGAAAAGACACTTATTAATTATTTAAACAAAAGATACAAAAGTTCAACACCACCAGAGCATTTTCACTCTCAGGTTGCAATTCTTTGCACATTGTATTTAATTTGTAAATGTCCGTTTTCATATTTAGACATCCTGATACGATATGATATCTAATATTCCCTCTTAAGACTTGATGCAATTCAACAGACGGTACTATTAATTCAAATTTATAAGGCATGTAAGAAAAACCTTTACATGATTACCTATTGTTAATGCTTGTTATTAAGTATTATTTCCAGTGTGTTTGACTTTACAGTACTAAGCAAAAGACTTAAGCCACCCCTTATTTCATTATAGTTTGCAAGGAAACTGGAAAATAATTGCAGTGATTTATTGAAATTTGTAAACATACATGGAAATACAGTGGGGGTTTTTTGGGGGGTTTTTCATTTGCTGCAAATAGATTTTCAGGTCGGTCACTTCTCCCCCTCCCCCCCCCCATCTGTCCAGTTTCCTCAAAAATTTGCACACCATCCCAAACATGCCATGTTTTTGGCTAATGGCTCTTTGGCAATCACCTTGATGGTGCAAAAATACAATTTATGATTGTTAAATCACACTATTTTTGGTATTTCCTGAATATTCAAAAAATTTAAGTGAAGTAGCTTAAAAAAATATAATAATAAAATAATAATGAAAGATATGACCTTTAGATGAACTCTTAGAAAGTCTGAAAAACTATTGCTCAATAAATAAATAAATAAACAAACAATTACAAGAAAGTTCAGCTCCCTGGAAGCAAAATCTAAAGAAATGAGGGTTGGTTCAAGACTTCTGCACAGTACTATATATGACAGTAGTACTCTACCTGTGGTTTGCCACAATCACACTGCTCCCCTTGTTCCAGTAGGCCATTGCCACACTCGGGATTGCTAATCACATTTGATGCAGCGGGCTGATTTCTCAGACACAGGCCTCCTCCTCTTAAAATCAGTGCTTCAAAATCTGCTGCACTGCACTGGCTAAAATGTGTGACACCACTGCAAAATAACAGGATAAATCATTTATAGAAATATACAGTTGGACAGGCCTCATATAGATGTTTTCACTATAGTGAAAGGTTTCTGTTGTCAAATTCTAAATATCTATACTGATCTAAAACCTTTATATATCTTTCAGCACTGATGGTGCCATTCCAGATGTTAAAGCTGGCATTTCCATAGGCACTAACGCTCCTCTTTAGTTCAGCGCCCAGGTTTCCGAAAAAGAATTTCAAATTTTGATTCGTGCAACCACAGAACCGTTTTTCACTTTGGTTCAGTTTATTTGAAATGAGCTAGTGACAGCGTTTCCAGATAACGTTCACATACAGCTTCCTCTTTGCATAATAGAGCTTTAACCTGCAGTTCACAGACAGTGATTTCTGAAAGTGTATCTGACCCATGCAATGACTGGAAGATCACAGGAATGCAATATTAATTTAAAGACTTCTCCAGATTGTCATAATCTTTGATTATATCATTTATTGTAGATGATATCTATGTAGATATCTATGATAAAACCTCTTCTCACCCATACTCTGGTATTTGTCTCCTGTTTTATGTTGCGGCTTTTGAGCCGGGTCGTAACACATATACAAAGTCTTTTTTTTATACTGAGGAACATTATTCTGAAATTGCTTGACAATTTCTGGGCAGTTTTTTGAAGGCTGGTGAACCTCTACCCATTTTTACTTTTGAGAAATTCTGCCTCTCTTTTTGTACCCATATCATATAATATTATTGTCCTGTTGTCTCATTAGTTGCAAAATGTTTCTTCCTAGTATCACTTTTTCATCCTTTTGTGGCCCCCATCCCAACGTTTTTGAGTCGTGTTGCTGATACCATATTCTAAATACGCTAATACAAACTGTACACTTCCCAGTTCAAACGTTTGATACGTTTTCTATGTTTGATGTATGCATGTTTGATTTATGACCTTTACTAGTGATTGGATTCATTGTTTCCTTACATTTTACATATTGTCCCAAATTTTCAGAATTGGAATTGTAAGGAAGGTTAAAAAAACAAAGACTTCTACGGAAAAAACAATAAATTAAACATTTTTTGAACATTAGTGAAAACTGTTTTACCTGGCACCTCCTGACATGATGCAGCTTTTTCCATTACAGGCGCAGTTCACAGCGTCATGATTCATGCCCAGGTTATGACCCATCTCATGAGCCACCACAGTGGAGACAAAAGCCAAATTGTTGCCGCTAAACTGTAAAAAACAAACACAGGACATTAAATGGTGACATTTTAACAGCATTTATGCCCAATTTGCAGCTCCTGAATTTGAAATGAGAGTTTAAATCAATGATATGATGAATCATTATACGTGTATAGCCAGAAGAAAAAAAATGTAAATGAACTTAAAAGCATATATCAAATATATCTACAAAAAATATAATATTATATAGTACATAGATAGATATCTATTAATATTAGAAATCAATTTATTGATGTAATCACTTTCTCAACTGCAATAGTAATAGCAATTGATACATGTTATACATTATGTTGTTGATAAGAAAAGCAGTTTACAAAAAGGCTTTGTAATAATACAAAGAAAGATGAATTGTCACGGTGGTGGAGTGCATTCAAGTATAACCTGTTTGACTAGAGTAGAATGTATTCAAAGCCTGCGAGAATAAGCTGCAGTTTTTATGAATAATGTATGATTGGTATCAGTTTCTGTGTGTCAGCTGGTGTTAGAAGTTAACAGAGATGAACTAACCACATTGATTCCTCCAGAACTTGAGGCAGAGCAGACTGTG